CCAAAGAACACCCTTCAGTCATATCCAACTGAAGCTTCCTACTGATTTGACTGACATAATCTCTCTCTTCTTGACAATCTTGACTCCCTTGGCTTCTGCATCACTCCACTTTCCTGGGATCCTCATTCCTTTTGACTGTTTTTATTCATATGTCTTATCTGTAATCATATTGTACATCAGATTCAGGTGTAGTTTTATCTCCACCAAATACTTCTCCACTGAAGCAAGACTATTTACTGATGAATATAACCTATACTTTCCCACCCACTCTATGTTTGAATCTGTCTGTGTTGGTCCCTACACTCATTTCTACTTGTCCAAAACCTACCAATTATTCATGATCTAATTCTTTAGTAAAGCTTTTGCTCATCTCCTGAGATTTTCATAATCTTTCCCTCCTTTGTGCTCCCATAAATTGCATTGCAACTACCCAATAGAATATTCACTCTTGCATATTCTCATTAATCCTACAAGGTCAGGAGCTCTTTATTCACCATGATTGCTGAGGTACCCAGTGTCTAAAACCATGCTTAGCACCTAGTAGGACCTCATTAAATTTTAGCTATAGTATTATTATTCATCATCTTTGCATTCTTCAGACCTCTAGCACAGTAATGTTTCTTAAATATTGTAAAATCAATTTAGAACTAATTAATTAATGCCCTAAGAATGAATGAAATCTCTTAGTAAGAAAGGAGAGCAGGTAGAAGGCTCACCTATAGTAGGTGGTAGAGAGGTAAAGTGAGAAGTCGGCTTGAGACTCTCTCCCTCTCCCTCTGTCCCTTCCCCCCCCAAATAAATGGATGAATATTTTTTTAAAAAGAGAGAGAAGAAAATGGCTAGGAACTACAAAAGGAGAGAATATAGGAAACTTCTAGTGATCCACAGGGTCATGTTATCTATTTTGTAAGTATCTGAAAGATAACATCTTCTTCTGCCAGTTACATGGGACAAGGGTAGATTTTTCAACATGGGGATGATCCTGTCTCTGACTCAGCCTGCCAAACACCAAAGCCAAATGGAATGGTGGTGCATTATCTAGTCGTGTTAGCTAGATTTCCCTGAGCCTCCTTTTGCACAGGTAAAAGAGAACTAACTATAAGGACAAAGGGAAAAAATGATGAAAATTTTTTAGAGGTTGATTTTTTAAAAATGTATTCAAGTGGATATATCAAGAGGATTTACTCTACAAAATAGCTAAATATTTTTTTGTATCAAGAAAAAGAATTAATTGGTATACTGTTTTTGAATCATTTTACAAGAATGGCCTTCTGCCAAGTTTTCTGTGTTATGGCTTTTTGATGTGAGTAACATTTCCTTTGAACTTTTGTTGTTTTTAGTACAGCCAAATCAACTGGCTTCTTTAAAGTGCTATTTTTGGACAAATACAAGGGAAAATTAATCATGGTGCCCAAGTGATAGTCTGGGTATACTATTTCATTATTTTCAGTTTAGTCTGGGAAGTATGTAACCAGTTTTTCACCCAGAGTAAAAATGTTCCAATTTATTAGAAAGTTCTTGTTATTTTAAGTGTCAATGACAGAAGAGTCATAATGGAAACCATCCCAGCTACTTCCATGCAGGCAATGCTGGCCAGCCATTGTGCTAAAATGACAAGCTTGCATTGGCTAAGGTGTGGCTTGAAAGGTCTGGAAGATGTCCCTCTCTAAGACAAAGGTCATGACACCACCAGTTCCTAGACAAGACTCTTTAAAATGCAAAAATCCCTGAGAATGGCACTCCATGACTAATACATATCCTCTAAAGTTGCACTTCAAGAGTTCACTCTGTACTTGGACTGGCAAGCAAAACAGCAAATTTGCAGATTTTGCAAAGAGCCAATGCTAACAATAAAGGTCATGCTGTTTTAATGTTGGCTCAACAAATTCCTATAGATCACACAACAGATTCCTTAGGTGGCAGGCCATTGGTACCAGAAAACACATAATTGTTTATAATGTCCAAAACCCTGGATATGGAGGTAGAGATAATAAGAGAGATCAAAAACGAGTCTGAGAAAGGGAAAACTGACATGGAAAGTTCAAGTGAACTCCCATCTCCTCCTTGTCTCCCAAGTCATTTCCCCGGTACATCTCCTACAGGCAGACTTGATCTCAGTCTATCTCTCCAATATTACGAGCCCTTTTTTCTTTGTGTCACCCTACTTCTTTTAACCAGCAGTTCCAGTCTCCCCAAGGCTAAGCTGCTGCACAACTCCAGGGCACAACCCTCATAGGGTAGTGAATATGAAGCCCCCCAAAGTTGTGTAGGGCCCAGCCTGTGACCATGTGGCACCCCTGCCCTCCACCATGTTTCTCACTATCCAGATCACACCAAACTTCAAGACTCAGATCATACATTTCTACCCCCTGGATGTGAAAGAAACCTTCCACAATTTCTCTAACCTAAAAAATGGTTTTGGCCCTGGAGTTCACACTGGGAGTCCACTTGAAAGAAATTCTCAAGATGAAGAAGAAATACAAAAGTCCTGGATCTTACCCTTGAACATCCCCAAGTGTAAATAATATAATGAGAGGGACATTGAACTGAGAGACAGGGAATTTGGATCTAGAGCAAATGTTAACTAAACTGCTGTGCAACCTTGGGAAAGTCACATAATTTATCAGAGTGTCATTTCACATTTGTAATATAAAGGAGGTGGATAAGACACCTCAAAGATGCTTGTCGGCCCCAATATTTTATATGACCTTGGAACACTAGCTCCAGAGGAAGGGTATTTGAGTCACAAAGAGCTACCCCATAAAGGGAGGTAATCAGTGGTCTCTGAAGGTCTGGGAGACAAGTCACTAAATGTTCATAAATGTCAAGCCAAATGACATACAGGCCTTACCTCTCGAGGCATATCCTTGCCTCTCTTCACAGCACTAGATCTTTACATAGATTTTTTTCACATCTCTAGTCTGGCAAACCTGGCACACAGCTGCCACATTTTCACCAGCCCACTCATAGTTGCTAAAGGCAACTGCCTCCCACGCTTAGCTACAGCACACACACCATCTCACGTGAGAATGCTAATAAAGGAGAGGTTTCTGCTACAAAAACATAGATCTACAGCTCCAAATACAGGAACACTCTTATTTTAAACAAACCTAATATGACACAATCTGCATTTGTAAGTACATACACTTATGTGGGTGCCTATAAATAAATGGGTGGATGGATGATTTGCTTTGCAAATGAATTCACCATGAAATTTCTTAAAATACCAAGTCCTTCATTTCTCTTTTCCTTCACTGCCTCCCCCACAAATATCTTATACTTTCTTACTTATTTATTGCTACTCAGGAATATATCTATTGTGTAAGGTAAGGTATCCAGTATTTATAAAGTTTAATGGAGAGCAAAATGGATGTCTTTGGCATCTTCTGGCTATTTTCCTTAATGTTCTGGGTATGTGGCCTTATATTTTGCATGCCTTGGCTCTGAAACTGTATCTGGCAACACCATGAGTATAAAAGTCACATGAATCTTAAATACCTTCCAGAGTCCACCATGATATAATAGCCTTCTATAGAAATTAAAATCTGGAAGAGCCACAAGCTTCACACAAGCCACCATGGTTGGAGAGAAGGGAGCTGATGGCCTTGCTTTGTGAAAACTTCCATGACAACAGTGTACCTTCCACTCAGGTTAGTATCTGTCAACTGAGGGCAGCTTAAAAAGTTAGACTAATATATTCTGCCTCCTTACACAATAAATGTTAATAGACAAAACATTAACCACCTTTCTGGGAGTGGTGAAGCTATTTCTAGTAATGGTGGTACTCTGGAAAATTTCACCTTTTGCTGTGAAATGCAAATGTGATTTTTCTCAGCCCATAAATGGTAAGCTCAATCATGTTTATTTGTTTAAAATTTGAGTTTTGTATGTTTTCTATTTCTCTTTTCCCCAGGGGTTTCCTTATCTGTATGCACACACAGATGAGAACAGGAACAGATCAGGGTGGCCCACCCTAGGTTAGGGTAGATTGCAAATAATATTTCGATGCTAACAGCACCAAACAAAGGTTTCATCTCACGTGATTGTTAGCATTCCCCTCGAGGCTCAGGCAAGCTAAGAGCCTAACAAAAACAAAAAGGAAAACAGCAACTTCACTCTTAAGTCATACTCTTTTCCAAAAAGAAAAAAGTTATTTTCCCCCCCACTTTCAGAAACACAATTGTCCAGAGCTCAGAAACTCAAAAGAATCCCAACTCCCCCTTGGATCCCTAAAAACAAACACTTAATGGGGGACCTGGTTCATGGAAGCTACAGAAGGATGGTGAGGATGGCAGTGGAAAGAGCACTGGACCAAGACTCAGGAAACCTAAGATGAGATCTGGACACAACCCACATTTTTTGTTGATAACAAATGAGATAATAGACTTGAAAATGCTTTGTGAAAATATTACATCTTCACAATACAATGCTCTGCTTATTGTGTGCATCTCAACTTGTAGGAAATTAAAGCTGAAAGTTAAGAAAAAATGAAAAAAAGAGTAAGGCTGCTCTAAACAAAGCTTTTTTTTTCTGTGTTCTGTATTTTTCTGTATTTTTCCCTCTCTTTGTCTCTCCCTCTATTTCTTTATGTCCCTTTTACTCTACCTTTTAGAAGAAGGCAAAAGTAACCATTGATCTAAACTCTGTGCTCTAATAATCATGACTTTTCTATGGTTTTCAACCACAGCCAATGGCTAAATTAGATAACCTCACTGATTACTAAGCACAGGAGCCTGGGTTAAATTATTACCAAAATCATATCATGAAGAAACTTTCTGCTTCTAGAGAAGCTTGAAGTTGGAATCAGCATCTATTCTTTATTCATTCATTCAACACATATTTATTCAGTACAAACTTATAGCAGGGATTTAGAAATTAACAAGAAAAATATAACCCCTTTTCCCCACGAAGTTCACAATCCAGTGAGGGAGATAGATTCATAGTCTCTCATTTTATAGCTTAGGAACTAGAGACAAATAGTTGAGAAAATTGGACTCTACCTGCAACTCTCCTTCCATTATACTGAGTAGCTGTATAAGGTCTTCTTTGGATAACTCCAAGGATTTCTTATTTTTTCGTTCACTTTCTCCAGATGATTTTAGGTGTCGTTTAACAGTTCCTGAGGCCATGACATCATCCTCCTTTCTGTTTGATTTGTTTTTCTTTTTTGCATCTTCTGAGAGACTTTTATCATCAGCGTTGCTAATGATAGAGGACTTGGGGCAGGAGATATGCCCATTGGATGAACTTTCACCGCCCTGATTTCGGGATCTCATTCCCACCTACAATACATGAAAAAAGATAAGATGTTGTTACTACCACTGAAATTATTTTTCTAACTACTTAGAAACTTTTAGCAGCTTCACAGCATCACCAATAAAGAAATACTGAAAGATCAGTCCTAGTTAGCTTCCTTATAGCTTTAATGAAAGTCATTAAAATCTGCAGGAAAATGCTTTGATGGTCTTCAGGAAAAAGTGAAAATGTGATTCTAACCTGATAAACATCTCAAACCAAATGACTAAGGTCAACACCAAGAGTTCTAAGTCGTGTCAATGGTATGTATCTTTGATATACTGGGATAATGGGATATAAACAGTACTTTACCTATGTGGCCTCCCACTCCCAAACATTACCCAAGTCTAATAATGAGAAAAACATCAGACAGACCCCACTTGAAAGACAGTCTACAAAACTGCTGACCAGTAATCTTTAAAGCTATCAAGGTCATCAAAAACACAGAATATCTGAAAAATTGTCATAGCCAAGAGAAACTTAAGGACACATGACAACTAAATGCAATATGGCATCCTAGGTGGGATTTTGGAATAGAAAAAAGACAGCATGAAGAAAAACTGAGAAAATATGAATAAAGCGTGGGCTTTAGTCAATAATTAATGTATCAATACTGGTTCATAAATTATAACAAATGTACCATACTGGTACATACTGTACATAAGCTGTTAACTATAGAAGAAACTGGGTGTGGTATATATTGGAACCCTAGGTATTATGTTTGCAATAATCTATGAATCAAAAGCTGTTGTAAAATAAAAAATTTATTTCAAAAAAATGATTCTAAATTAAGCCTATCAGAAAATTCAAACATCTGGGGCACCTGGGTGACTCAGTTGGTTAAGCATCTGACTCTTGGTTTGGGCTCAGGTCATGATCTCAGGGTCATGAGGTTGAGCCCCGTGTTGGGCTCCATGCTCAAGGTGGAGTCTACTTGAGATTCTCTCCCTCTCCCTCTGCCTCTGTTTTTCCCCTCACTTGTGCACTCTCCCTCTCTCAAATAAACAAACAAACAAACAAATAAATAAATAAATAAAATCTTAAAAAGAAAAGAAAATTCAAACATCAAACCCTGCCAGGAACCAGTTGGAAGTCACAATGTACAGAAAAATCCACATAGGGTGGAGAGGGCTTCAATTGGAGAGAGGAAAAGGGAAACTCAAAGGGAAGAGGGTGGTGGTGTTTTTAGTAATGTGGGATTTTGTTTTTCCATAATCTCTTTTTCAAAATGGGGGGAGGGTGGTGTGTTTTGTTTCATGTCAATCATTTACAGTAATAAAAATAAGAGCACAAAGAATGGGGGAAAGCAGATCAATTACAAAATCAAAAATTTTAAAAATATTTTGAGTTAAAATAAAGAAAAAATACAAAGTAGTGGCTAATTTATCCCGTGGGGAGCACATTTGGGTCTTTCCATCATGAATGCTTTACAGATTGTCTGTCAGTCTCTGAGCAGAAGAACTTGACCAACAGGTATGTTACAAACAAACAAATTGAACTCAAACCCTAAGACTCAAAGTGCAAGAAAGAGAGCTCTAATTTCCTGGGGGCTGTACTACAAAATTTGCCTAAACTCTTAAATATAGTAGCTTAGAACATGGGATTATTTAAAACTCACAGTATAAATAGTCCTTCCCCTGAACAACTAAGCAGCAAGATTTTCATTACTCATTCCAGATAAAATACAGAGACTTGTTTTCTGAAAGTAAATTTCCTTTATGAACCCAACCATACTTAAGAAACTATGGAAAGCTTTTCAAAACACTAGGTTTATAATAGAAAAATAAATACAGTGTGATGTTTCCTTTCAGATAGTGCATATTCAATTCTTCCAACAAATCTTTAAATCTACATTCATGCTCCTTTTTTGAACTGAACTCTTATAACCAAATGGACCCTTTTGTGAGTGTGTAAACTTTCTTCAGCACCCTAATTTTGAACACTATAAACTGAAAAAGTGATCCTTAACACTGGCACCCTATTTTCTGGTTCACTCAGTGATTAGTTCTTGAAATTTTAGAGCATCTTTTCTGCTTCCTTGGTGAAGAAAGAATAGATGTGTCTTTGTAATGGAAGCCAGAGCATTTCGGAGCAGACCTACTATACTCTATCAGTTTGTTCTGGGCGGAGAGGGCTGACTTAAGCCCCAGTCAAAAAAAAAAAAAAAAAGAAGAAGCGATGAATAGAAAGTTTTGAAGGGGAGTAAAATATGCTTTTTTGGCATATTGATTATTTAAGAAATAATAGACACAGGTGAAGTTCTGAAAACTGAGTAGAAATTACCCTTTGGTATGAAATACTAAATTTATAAGGGAAATCTCCATTTGTAAGGGTGTCTTCTTCTTCGTACCAGAAAGAAAAGAATGACTAAATTTCTGGAAACTCTTCTTAGCAGAGAAGGTAAGGACTTAAATCTGCACAACACTTTACTCTTATTTACTGTGCTTTTCCTGGTCGGCAATCAGTGCCTTTTCTATCTCAGCAATGTAAAAGTACTCAGAGATCACAAACTAGCCAAGAAATATTTTAGGAAGGAAGTAGACACCATATACAAAAGTGAAAGACATATTCTCAATAGTGTAATCAAGTGTGCCATCAATAATGTCCACTTTATTTATTTATTTATTTATTTATTTATTTATTTATTTTTAAAGTTTATTTTTTTTTTAGTAATCTTTACACCTAACGTGGGCCTCAAATTTTCAACCCCAAGATCAGGGGTCACATGCTCCTCAGATTGAGCCAGCCAGCACCCCAGTAATGTCCACTTTAAACTACTTTATTTTGGGGGTGCCTGAGTGGTTCAGTTGGTTAAGTGTCTGCCTTCAGCTCAGGTCATGATCCCAGGGTTCTGGGATCGAGCCCTGCATCAGGCTACCTGCTCAGTGGGGAGTTTGCTTCTCCCTCCTCCCTCCCTTCCTCCCTCCTTCTCTCTCTCACTCACTCTCTCTCTCAAGTAAATTAATCTAAAATCTTTTAAAAAAAAAAATAAACTACTTTATTTTGAAGGAAGAAAATATCAAGACAATAATGACTTCCATGTATCACATTTAATGACAGCCATACTCTTCCTTATTCTAATAGCTATCAAGTTTCTTTTTTCTTAATTTTTTATTTAAATTCAATTTAATTAACATATATTATTAGTTTCAGAGGTACAATTTAGTGATTCATCAGTTGCATACAACACCCAGTGCTCATTCCATCAAGTGCCTCCTTAATGCCCATCACCCAATTACTCCATCCCTCCACCTACCCCCCCTCCAGCAACCCTCTTTGTTTCCTATAGTTAAGAGTCTCTTATGATTTGCCTCCCTTTCTGATTTCGTCTTATTATATTTTTCCTGCCCCTCTCCTATGTTCATCTGTTTTGTTTCTTAAATTCCACATATGAGTGAAATCATATGGTATTTGCCTTTCTCTAACTGACTTATTTCACTAGCATAATACACTCTAGCTCTATCCACGTCATTGCAAATGGCAAGATTTCATTCCTTTTGATGGCTGAGTAATATTCCATTGTATATATATATACACCACATCTTCTTTATCCATTCATCTGTTGATGGACATCTGGGCTCTTCCCATAGTTTGGCTATTGTGGACATTGCTGCTATAAACATTAGGGTGCATGTGCCCCTTTGAATCACCAGGTTTGTATCCTTTGGATAAATACCTAGTAGTGCAATTGCTGGGTCATGGAGTAGCTCTATTTTTAACTTTCTGAGGACATTTCATTCTGTTTTCCAGAGTGGCTGCCTCACACACTGTTTCTTTTTTTTTTTTTTAAAGATTTTATTTATTTATTTGAGAGACAGAGAATGAGAGAGAGCACATGAGAGGGGGGAGGGTCAGAGGGAGAAGCAGGCTCCCTGCTGAGCAGGGAGCCCGACGCGGGACTCGATCCAGGGACCCCAGGATCATGACCTGAGCCGAAGGCAGTCACCTAACCAACTGAGCCACCCAGGCGCCCATCACACACTGTTTCTTAAGTGCTACACAGTGTGCTAAGCATTTTACATATTGCATCTCATCTAAATTAATATTCACATCAACCTTATTATTCTCAGGTTTACAGATATGGCCACTGAGGTTGAAAGACATTAAATATCTTTTTTCTGGATCACACAACTACTCCTAGCGAATAGAAGAGCTAGGATTTGAACCCAGGTCTGATGCCAAATACCTACTCACTATACGGCTTTCCTCTAAGTTCTTAAACACATGCAAATTGGAAGGGGTAAGGGAATACCCTGTAAATCAGATGATTCAGAAAAATTTACAAATCCTTACTAAAGTAATGTTTTTCACTTCATACTACAGAATTGGAGAAATCCATTCATCTTTCTCCACATTCATGCAAAACTCACACAGCAATTAAAATTGCTAAGCAAAATACTTTTGCCAAAATCATTAACCTGATGCAGAACTTGTAAAATGATGAATCATTTTTAAATCACCCCGAGAAGCAACATGGCTAAATATTAAGGATACATGTTATGAAAACAGGATGTGAAGTCTGAACAGGGACCATCTGTGTTAAAAGTCCCAGAGTTGAACAATAGTAAACATTTAATCAGAGTTGGCCAAATCCTGTCCATTGTGTTTACAGGAGTATCAGGCAGGTAACAAAGAAGGCATCTGGTACTCTGTAGGCTTCTTAATAGTTGATTACATGGCTGCAGGGTTGGGACACGTAGATAACAAAATTTCTGAAAGAAGCCAAAAATACCTTTGCTCTACCCCAGCATATACCCTTTGAAGAAAGTTCTCCTTGAGAAAAAGGTATAAATAAACTGAAAATTCACACCAGATTTGTAACCACACCACTCTCTCTCTCTCTCTTTTTTTTTTTTTGAATCACTGTTATTTGGGGCACAAATTCCTCTTTTTAATAAGTAAATAATCCTAACAAAGTTCAAGAAGTACACTTACTTTTCCATTCATAGTAATTAGTCAGCAATAGTTCGCATGGAATTTGCTGACT